GCCGCGACCTCAACCGCAGCTTCCCCGATCAGTTCGGGGTGGCCGAGCCTGACCTGGAGCCCGTGCCCGAGGTGAAGGCTCTCATCGACTGGATGCGCCGTAACAGGTGAGCGCTGCTCCGTCGCCTCTGCCTGGCGCCTCGTGCTGGGGAAAGAGACTCAGCCCTGCTTCCCGGGGGTGTCGGCCAGTTTCCAGTCCTTCCTGCTGCTTCCCAGCAGGGCCCAGTGGGTAGGAAAAAGCAGGGGCGCGTGCCCTTCGTCACAGCAGGGACCATCCTGCACTGGGGTGGCCCTGGGACCATTTGGCCTGTGGGGGAAGGTGTTTGGTGGCCCCAGTTCCTGTGTACCTGCCAAGGAGCTGCACTAGCCCCGTGGGGCACAGCCCCTGCCCTGCACACACCCAGGTGTTCTGGCCTCCATGGCCATCAGCGTGTCTCCCATCTCCCAGAGCTTGTGGCTGGAAACTTCTCGTCACCCATTTCACCTTGACCTTGTCAGTGGGTCTTGGTCTCGGGGCCAGTAATGCTTTCACCATGAGCACTGGCACGCTGGAAGTGTTCAGGGTTAAGTGTGCAGCTGGTCAGTGTACAAACACTGTCAGAGCTGTGTTGAACAGGGCTTCTCCCATCTTTGTATTTCGTGGAAAGTTCTGTGGATTTAGCAATACTGCTCTGTGCAGCAGCATTTCCAAATACAGGCCCTGCTCCCATGGCTTTCTTCCCCATCTGTCCTGTTGCAGCACACAGGACTGAGCCTTAAGTGCCTGCACTGTCCCATTTGGCTCTCCCTTTCCGAGAGAAGAGCAGTGGGAAGCTGCTGTGCCTGGAGTGGGGCAGCCTAGGAGAGGAGATGGCACTTTTGAAGCACAGCTCTGGTTTGGGGCAGCCCAGGAAAGGGCAGTGGCCAGGCTTGGCTCTGGCTCTTCATTTGCCATGAGTTATTCTTTAGAGACCTGTGGAAGGTCCAAACCACTAAGGTCAGTGCAACCAACCACGTGAAGTTGTGCTGAGTCTGATCAGATGTGAGCAATGCTCTGAGGCACTGTGGCACTCTTCCCAAAATGGGGATAGACATGGAGAGGGGCTGGCTGAGGGCCACAGTGCACTGTAGGGCTGTTGGTTGACTCCAGCCAACACACACAGCATTCAGCATCATATCATGTTTGTTCAGTTTTAGGGGACAAAATTTGCGTGAACAACCAACCTTTATTAAAACTTGGTGGATGGTGGTGCCCGTGGAGGTTATTGCTCCAAAGGAGTTTAATCAACTTCACCAGAAATTGCTTGTCCTGAGGATCCTTTAGGACAGCTCTGGTGCAGCACTTGACACTAAAATCCCTTCATATTTGGTTCAACTCAAAATGAGTTACTAAGGAAACTGTTGCACAGTCTTGATATCCGTTTGAAAACACCTTGAGCTTTTTGTTATTTTCTGCAAGTGTTTGAGGTGGAATTTGCTGTCAGCCAGGCTGAAACAGGAGGAACGTGGTGCTTCGTGCATCCCTCTGCCTGGCAGCACCAGTTAATACTGGTGCAATTGTTAGACTAACAGAACTGCTGATAGAAAAATGAATGGGTAAACAGAACTGTTTGATTAAAAACTGAGATAGTGGCTGTAATGCAATTCGTGTGTGCTGTTTTAGGCAAGGTAAAGGTATTGGTCATGTTACTTCTGCTTGGAAACCAAATCCCATTTGACTGAATGTACAGCAGAGCTCTTTTTCCCTCAGTGCTGTGTTTGGTGGGAAGAGGAAGAGCAGAGACAATTACCTTTGGGGTTCATTGAAATGCTTGTGCTGCTTGTGACCAAACTGAAAGGTGATACAGAGCGTGCCTGCTATATTTTGTAACCTGGGATTTTTGCAGCTCTGTCACACATCCAGATTTATTGTTCTGTAGTACATACCAGAGCTTGACAAAGTGCTGTGCACATCTATTGTGGAGTTTGAGGGCTCAGTTTTAGGCTTCAGCAAGAAACTTGTTCCGTCTCCAGTAATGCCAGATGTCAGTTTGGGGAGCCAATCAACCAGCCCAGTTCTTGCAAAAATCTGCAGATTTCCCCACTGTGCTCCCACTTGGACTCTGTTCAGACCCTGTGACAGTCCTGCTTGCTGCGTTGGAGGCTGCTGTTAGTAAGAGGGGCTAAGTCTTCTGGGGCAGTGTTAGTAAGAGGGGCTAAGTCTTCTGGGGCAGTGTATCGTGTCCAACAGTAGCCAACACGTGGGACAAGTGTAAATGCAACCTTGGTGTAGCTGCAGCTCCACAGGTGTTCTCCCTGCTCAGGGCTGAAGGAGCAGGATCCAACTGCTTCCTCTTCCAAAGTGTTAGTACTTCTAGGCAGCTCATCCCACGGGTGCATTGTGCCTCGCTGATCCCACATAGAGTTTGGAGGCTCCTGAGAACATGGTTTGAGTTGGAAAGCAGCAGAATAATTTGTTGGGTGCCTGTAGCAGCTTCCTATTGAAATTGTTCCAGTATGACTCTTTCTTCTTTCCCTTCCCTTCCCAGGTTTCTGCTCTCTGGCAATCTCCATGGTGGCTCCGTGGTGGCAAGCTATCCCTATGATGACTCTCCCACACACAAACCCACAGGAGTCTACAGCAAATCAGCTGATGATGAAGTGTTCAAATACTTGGCCAAAGCTTATGCCTCACACCATCCCATAATGAGAACTGGCAAACCCAATTGCCCTGATGAGGAGGGAGAGACCTTCCAAGATGGTATCACAAACGGTGCCCAGTGGTATGACGTAGAAGGTAAGCTGTGCTGACTCTGCTAACTCTTAGCTCAGCTAACACAGTGTCTTCTAGAAATAGTCTCTGAGCACTGACATCCAAACCAGTGGTGATTATCAGAGGAAGGAATGGTGGGTGAAGTGATATTTTTAGCTTTTAATGTGTTCTAGTGAAGGGAAATGGCATCACAGGCACACTGGTAAGTGCCTCATGAGTCACAGCTTGAGAGATGTTTGTAGGGAAGAGATCACAGCAAACTGGAGGATTCTTCCTGACCCTGTTGGGTGGTGGAGCGTTGTCCTGCATGTGGAAGGCTTTGTTTGCCATACGAACTCTCATTAGGTTTCTTGGCAGTTACTAGATTTTGATACGGGAAAGAGGAAATGTTTGTTGAAGATATTAAGTACTGGTATAATGCCAGTGTTCTGTGAGGTTTTTTTTAACCTTTGAACTTGGAATTTTGTAAGTGATTATAGAATAGCCAGCTGTAAAACTGTGTGAAATGTCGATATGTGGTCTGATCTGACCAAGGTGCTCTCACTGGAAGTGGGGCCAGCAGCTTTGGATGGACTGCTCTGCTCTCAGACCTGTGACAACCAGCACCACCTGTTCTTATCCACCACTGTGTGGGATCTAGAAGGGATGCAAAATTTCATTTGCTGGAGCCTCTAGGAGAGCTCCTGGTCATTAGGCAGCTGCACTGTGAAGTGATCTGAGTAGGAGCAAATTACCTCCTGGTGCCACCATTCTGCTGGTGTGGAGGTCACTAGGCTGGCTCAGCCACCTCAGTGTGCTACTCTGTGTGTGTTGATTTTGTTGAAAATGGGATTTAAATGATAATTTGTGTGATGAGAAGCTCTCATGGAAAAGGTTTTGTGGGCTGGTGGGAAGAGAAATTGTTGCCCCGTTGCTGTGCCCCCTTGGAGTATGTTGTATATCAGCCTTGCCAGACAGGGCAGGAATTTCTGTGGTGAGAACATAACAAAAACCTTGCAGAAATGTTCCCAAGAAGTTGTGTTGCTTTGCTGTGTCTGGAGTGCTCTGCTTTCCCTCATGCTAGAGGATGAGGGATGATGGCAGGAGTGCTGAGCAAGCAGTGACATCCAGTGTTGTTTATCCTTCAGAGCTTACAGCTTAACGATTTCTAATAGGACTGTCTGTCTGAAACATGAGCTTTGGAGCAAACTCCTGTGTTAACCCTGCATCCAGCTTGCTTGGGAAGGAGGGATGGGGATCCATTATTGGGCCTGAACACATCACCTCTCTGCTGGAAAAGGAAGTTTTGATTTTTAGCAGTGGCTGAGTCATCCCCCAGAACTTCACTGGTTCGATTAAGATGTCGTGTTCAAATGAGATGTGGTTTGATCCCTTTCTCTACCAGCTGTCTCTCTCCCTCCACCCTGTCGAGCACACCAGCCCTGGTGTTTGCTGGCTCAAGGTTCACCCTGCTGCTGTGAGAAGTCCAGCAGGAGGAAGGTTTGTGTAATCTGGTGACTTGGCTCACGAGGGAACAGGATATCCTGGATGATCTGTGCTGCCTTGTTCTGGTGGCTGTTGTTACTGACAAACACCTCAGCTGGGAGGTTTGTTTGCTGCAGCTCTGAGGTTTTCTGCCCTTGTGATGAAGTGGGTTGGGTGTGCTCTGAAGGGAAGATGATTCCAGAGCTTTGGACCTGTGCTCCTCTGCCTGCAGAGAGCATCATTTTTCACTGCAGGGTTAAGTTCTTCATCCTGCTGCTTGGATGTGAGGCAGCTGGTTAGTAGCTGTGGCACTGCACAAGATTCTCAGGCTACCTTTGCCCTGCCAGTGAGCAGAGCAGAGGTTTCACCTACTTTCCTTTCGTAGGAGCTGGCAAGGTGTGAGCTGCAGACCAGTTTGCTCTGTGCTGCCATCACTGTGCTTTATTTTGCACCCAAAAGCCTCCACCCTCGGTGGAAATCAACCCTTCCTCCGTGACAAGCCGAAGCCTCAGGCTCAGTGCTAATGGCTGTGGGTGACTCACGGGCAGAGATTATATGGACTCTGAGAGCAACATTGCTGAGGCTGCAGGCAAGACCCCCTGGGCATCTGTGTGGTCTCTCCCTGTTACAGAAGCTCCTGTGGAGGGTGACGGTAACCCTTGGAACAGCTCCTTGGCCGAGGACTTTTTGTGAAGTATAACCCGGTGGGAGCATGGGTGAACTGACCAATACCACAGGCCTGTTATCAAATTACACATGTTATTTGGTGTTGCGTGGATTTACTGTGTCCCTTTGGGATTGTAGGTTTTAACATTTATTTTTAGGAGTGGATGAAGAGCAGGCAAGGGGAAGTCAGTTGTAAACAGTGTGACAGAAGCAGCAAAACCACTGCGGTAGCAATATTGAGTCATCCAAGTTGCTCAGCTCTGTGCCAAGGACTGTTGGAGGCTCATACTTGGACCAGGAGGCCTTTTCCAGTGATTGCAGAATTTAAATGTGCAGTGAAATGAGGCTGGGGAAATCCCAGTCCCCTGCAGGAGCTCCCTGGGCTGAACTAAGATAGATAACCAAGAACATGGTTCTGTGAACATTGCAGGGCACGTGCTCATGGCCTCCAGATCAGGTTGTGCCAGGAGAGACTCCTGCAGGCTCCAAGTGAACTAAAGCCAGGAAAAACAAAGAAACGAGAACACAGTGTCTCAACAGGTGGAAATTTTCCTGCCATGTTTTATCATGTGGAATCAAACATGCTGGAGAGCAAACTGCCACAGAATTCATTGTCCTGCAGTTACCAGTTCAGGTTTATGCTGGTGCCAGACCCCATTAACTTACATTTGAGTCTGTAAACAATCAACTTGTGTGTCAAATCGAGGTGACAAGTACAAACCATGGGAGTAATTGCTAAGGTCAAGTGTGCACAGAGAAAGATGGATCTCTGCCAGACAGCTGAATTTGGCTCCTGCATTCCAGCTGCTATAGATAAGCATGTCTGTGACTGGGATGCATTTTGGAGGATATCTCTGGTGTGTTTGTTCTTTCTCTTCCTTCCTTTTTAACCTCCAGGGGTTTTAACTACCAAGTGACTGGTTCAGATCGAGTAAATACATCCAAGTCTGGGTTGGAGTGTTCTTATTGGTGGGCAGGACATGCAATTATAAAGAGCTCAGTTCAGAAATTGAATTCAGTGTGAAGTTCAACAGCATATTTTGTGGGCAGTCTTGGGAGGTTTAGCATTATTTGCAGTCCCTTTGCAGTCTGGCTTTCTGATGCCCAAGTGTTTGAGGTGTTTCTGATATCTCCTGGAAGGCACTTCTCAGGTTGAGAGTGGATTCAGGTTACCTGTGTGCTGACTAGGTTGTTTTGCCTGTGGTTACCAGCCACACTGAGCTCCCAACCAGCTTTCAGTGGCATCAAACTCAGTAATTAAAATGAGTGCTGAGAGCAGTGGGTGCTCATGCCTCTGTTCCCTGGGCATGGCAGAGGGCAGTTGCATGGTGTGAGCTCTGGTAGAAGCTCTCAGCCATGTCTTTGTGGGATATGCACAATTTGCTGCACTTCTGTTTTCATAAAATTCTTACTGCAATTCTTTTTCTTCTTGAGACAAGTATTGGCTCGATGGTTTGAGGGGCTGGTGCCTCTTCTCATGTCTGTCTTGAGCTGCTGGGCAGTGCTGTGCTGGTGCAGCTCTGGGGCAGACTCTGCCCCTCTCTTTGAGAGAAGGCTGCAGGGCTCTGTGGGATGCAGCTGCTGCAGTTGGAGGCTCAAACTTCACCTGCTCTGAGTTTAATGATTGCAGACTAATGGACCAAAACATTCCTCTGCCTCTTTGGTGCTGCTGCTGGTGCTCACCCAGTCCCATGCTATGAGACAATCAGTTCTAATCTCAGAGTCAGCAATTTGTGCCACATACTGAATCACATCTCCAGCTTTCCTGGTGCCATCTGCTCTCTGCAGAGCAGACATGGCTGTCTCTGCTTAAACATAGCTGCAGGTCTCTTATCTCCTGATGTCTGCTCCAGTGAGAGCTGGAATTAGTTTTCTGCATAGAGCAGTTTGAAAATAGTCCTCCTTGGCTGGCCTGAAAGGCTTCTCCTGGCACGTAGAGTTATTTATGGTATCTGGATCTCCAGGCTTGTCTCTAGAGAGCTGCATTCTCCTGGTTTGAGCTTGGCAGGGAGCAGGGGCATGCCTGTCAGCGTGAGCTCTGCAGTGCTTGTGCTGCAGGAGGTCTGGGATCCTTACCTGAAGCACAGTCCTGGTGCTCAAAGAGTGGGTCAGAGCAGGGGAGAGGCTTGTTCTGAGCATTTTTGTGACCTGCTGGTGGCCAGGAACTAACTGACTTGCTGTGACACTAAACTGCTTACTTTCAGTTTGCTTTCCTCACTGATAAAATAGATATGATGCTTCATCAGGAGGCTGAAGCTTTATGCAGTGTGAGCAAAAGATAACCCTGTGATGAAAAATGCTGAAATAAACCCAACAGGTTATCCCAGATATTACCCAGAGAGAGAGCAGAAGCACTGCAGCCTGACAGTCCTCTGCCTCAGGTGTGTTTTTTCTGCTGAAGTCAGGCTGAGTATGGGTCTCTCTTTACCCCTCCAGATCTCTGTGTAGCCAGGAGAGCTGTGCAGATGGCATTGTGGGAAAATATGTAGTTCCATATGCTGTAAAAATAACTGTCCTGCTCTTCAGCAGAGCCATGTGAAGGCCAAATATGTGCAGTGGATACAATCCAGATTTTCAAGAAAGCAGTGGACTACTTTCTCCAAGAGACAGTTTTACCAAAATTGATGCAGCAAGCTCCAATTTAGTCTGTTGCTGCTCTATTATGGGTGAGCATCTGTCCTAAATTTGCTTGAATGGCAGATGAAGCACTAAATATGTTTCGTAATGGCTCTGGTTTACGTATGGATGTTTTCAAATGCATTAGCATCCTGCTAGGAGCAGATGGTTATGGGCTGGCAAATTGTTTCACTCGCTGTGGTGTTTACTGGTGAGAGAGCTGCCTGCTGTGCTGAGCCTGGTGACAGGAGCTGAATAGCACTGAGGGTGGATCAGGTTCACAGGCCTTGTTCCTCTGACCTCCTGAACTGAGTTGGAGAGTTATAAAGTCCTCAAACATTTGTGCTGGACAGAAAAAGTCTCTTTCCTGTTTTGATGTCAGCCCGTGCACAAGCTGCAGTGCTCTCCTGGCTGCCAGTGACATTTGGGTTGTTACAATGAAAGCTTCGTGTTCCCTTAGCAGCAGATTGTCAGGAGAATTGAGAGGAACTGGGACATCTTTGTTGTGGTACCATCCTGCTCATCTTCCCAGGGCTCTGTTCTAAATCCTACTTTATGCTGTCAGTCCATCCCAGCTGCAGTGGGGCTGTTGAATTCAGAGCAGTGGTCCCTGACCTTTTGGGCCACCACCTCTGTTATAAACCTCCTCTGCTCATCAAAGTGCTGCTGATGGCTTTTCCTGGCTGTGCATTGACACAGTCTGTGCCAGGTAGTGCATTTTCATCAGGGTATCGATCTGTTCTGGGTGGTTAATTGACCAGCACCACGGAGGGTCCCTGACTTGTGTTGGGGGTTGTGAATGGTTGGGAAGCTGCTCAGACAAAGCAGATGAGGTTTATTGACACAGCACTAATGTAGCACGTCAGTGGGCCAAGCAAAATATGGGAGTACAGTCTGCATTTCTTACGGACTTGCCTGTTGGGGTCCTGCAGGGCTGATGTCATGACACATTCCACAGACTTCATGCTTTCCTTCTCCTGAAGCTTGAATCTGCCTCCTGAAGTGCAGAAGTATAGCTGTTCTAGGAGAGTTGGGCTTCTGAGAGCCAGTTTGGCTTCTTCAGCTCATCCACAAGAGATCCTGGGCCCCTGTGTCAGATGACACCAGTGGGAGTTGTTCTGTTGGTGTGTGGAGGTCTCTGGGCTTGGTGGTCACAGGCACTGCTGGTGCAGGTTGGGATGGAGCTGTTAGGAAGTGGTGGCCAAGGCTGTGACACACCAGTCTGCCTGGGTAGTAACTGAATAAGGTGGTGTAACCCAGAAGACAACATCAGCATGCACAAAACTTAGCATGGTGTGTCTTCCCTACTGCCACAACTGTCTGGCTGGGCAGTGGTGATGGGAATGATCCTCTCATGTGGTCATGACATCTGGCTACAGATATGTGGTGGGATCTGCCAGGGTGACTCTGAAACCTGTTTCACAGACATGTGGTGGTTTGGAAATGTCCTTTTTACTATTGAAAGCTCCCAGGAATGTTTAGAGGGCTGAACATTTGCAGTCCTTAGCAGTTGTGCTCAAGTCTGGGCTCCAGGTCATGAGTGTTGGTGCCTGCAGACCTCAGGTCCTGCTGGTGTGTGATTCATTGCTGTTTGAGGAACAGGTTTGCTTGCTGAGGGTTGGATGTAAACTTCAGCAAATGGGCTCAGGACACTTGCTGGGCCAAGGTGACCTTTTGGATTCATAGCAATACCTGTGGTTTCTCTGAAGGGTGAGAATAGCAAGATAAACTTAATGCTGGGAAACAGCTCTATGCACTCCTGTTTTCCTGGTGCTCACAAAGGTTTGACTTGTTTTACACTAAGCTAACAAACTGTCCCCAGGTGCTGCAGCATTCTTAAACTGATTGAGATCACTGCCAGAAAGAGGAAACATGGCAGGAGGCTGATGACTTGGTCAAGAACAAGTTTCTCAGACTTTCTCAGGTGAACAAGTCTGTGTCCTGTTCCCCTCCTGCAGGACCTGGGGGCTGCAGCATCACAGGATGGTGATGAGGGAGGCATCACTGCCCAAATCAAGAGGAGAGTTTCCTGAAGGTGACTTGCTGCAGTTCTCTGCATGCTGTCACCATGTCAGACCTTGTCAGACTTTCTGCTAGGGCTGCTCCAAATATCAAGTAAACAGAGACCTTCAGATAAGGAGTTGTAGGAACATTCCAGCTGGGGACATAGAGAAGGGGAAGAATTGTTCTCATCTTGTCTAGGGATTTGCAGTGAGGCTTTTGGGAGGACAATTTTGTGGTCCTTGAAACTGATTTTGGCATGCAGATTTGAGCTGCCACCTCCCAAGTTGACAGTCTGGTGTGTTCTTTTGTGTCAGAAGCCTCAAGTTCATTTTGGGTGAAGTAACTTCTCTTGTAGGCAGATCTCACAGATCTGAGGGTATCTGGGAACGTTTAGTGAAGGACTGTGCGGCAGGAATGTTCAGAGTCAGGAGTGCTTGCCCTGGCATACTGGGCATGTCATGTCTGGAAAGGTAAAATAAACCTATATGAATTTCCACTGTGCTGCCAAGTTCAGCTGTCAGAGCAGTTAGACCAAAGGCACTGTCACTTTGAGCTGTCTGTGGCTGATTTGAATGGCCCAGTGTGCTGGTTACTGGGAGAAATGGAGATCAATCTTCCCCGGTACAGGCTGTCATAATCTGAGTTTTCTCCTCTGGAGCTGGGGCAACATCCTGGGAAGATGCTGTGGGAGGCTGAAGAGCAAGGAGAAATGTGCACCCTGTGGTGGGATGTGTGTGCATTGCTCTTGGGACATGTCTCTGCCTCCTTTTCTCAGGTGGGATGCAGGATTACAACTATGTGTGGGCCAACTGCTTTGAGATCACATTGGAGCTGTCCTGCTGCAAATACCCTCCGACCTCTGAGCTTCAGAAGGAGTGGGAGAACAACCGAGACTCTCTCCTCACTTTCATTGAGAAGGTAGTGTGGGCTGTGAAAGCTGAGTGTCTGCGGTGGGCTGGGAGCCACGTGCTTGGGTTCCTCTTGTGGCTTTGCTTGCTGTGTGAAGTAACACAGCTGCTGTGTGGAGGTCAGTGGCTACAAAGCAGCTGTGAATCTCTGTGGTTCTGCCACAGTTCCCACATCCCCCACAACAGCAGAGCTCTGCTGAGAGGGACCTGGTGGGGTGCAGTGTCTGATCAGTGCCAATCTCACAGTCATGCAGAGTACCTGGATGGCCTTGGTGCCATGAATCTCCAGTGATATTCACAGGCACCAAAAGTGCTGAGAGCTTGGCTTGCAGAGCCTTTTGCCAGGCTGTCTCCAGATGCCATGTGTGAGTTGAGGAGGTGACAGTTTAGGCTCAGAAGGGAGGCAGCTGCATTTGGTCTGTAACCCTGCTGCGTTCATGTTGTTGTGTGCCCATGTCAATGAATTAGAGGATTTTTTTAGGAGTGATCAGTTCTGAGATCTTGCTGCCCTCCCAGTCCATGGTGGAATTCCTGTCCTTGCTGTCTGGCCAAGCACTGTCTGAATCATGGGCCCTTGGGTGCCTTTGCCTGGCAGCTGTCCCGTTCTGCTGGGTTTGGGGAAGGATGAGAGAGTATTGCTGCCTAAGGATGCAGTTCCCCTGATGTTGCCTGTCTTCAGCCAGGCCTTTGCACTGTTCTCCTCAGGTCCACATAGGTGTGAAAGGCTTTGTCAGGGATACAGTCACCGGAGCTGGCCTGGAGAATGCAACCATCGTTGTGGCTGGCATTGCTCACAACATCACCACAGGCAAATGGGGCGATTACCACCGACTGCTGGTGCCTGGGACCTACAACGTGACTGCACTTGTGCTGGGGTAATGTCTCTGTGGCAGCCTGTGTCCACAGCCCAACTGCTCCTGTTCCTTCACTTGACTTCCTACCCCAAAGCACCTTGTGTATTTAAGGGGCCTGGCTGGAAGCTGCAGCAGTACAGGACTCCTGCTCAGAGCTGCAGCTGTGTTTGCTCACCCTGTGCCCTCTGTCACCTTTGACTGCTTGTTACCAACCTGTGTCTTACTTTTGGGGAAAAGGGAGAAAGTGGAGTGGAGTCACCTGAGTATGTTTGTGTTGTCTCAAGCCTGGGTGTGGACATGTAATTTGCCCCTAGGCTATCCCTGTGGTATGCCTGGGGCTTCTTCCCTGCTGAGCCTGTAGACAGAAACACAGTGAGATGTCTCTGTGGCACAACAGGGACAGCAGTGGGGTTGGGTTTGGTGGCAGCAGGATGAGTCCTGTCAGCTTGTTCCCTGGTGAGTCTCTCACATAATCATTAACATCCCAGTGCATTTGGGTTGGGAGGTATAGACTGGAGTGGTGGAAAGGCTGCAGGGGTTGTGGCCTCTGTTTGCAGAGCCTCCTTGCTGAAGCTAACTGGGTTTTTTTCCACAGTTATGCACCAGTGACCAAAGAGAACATAGAGGTGAAGGAGGGAGATGCAACAGAAGTGAATTTTTCCTTGCAGCCAACTGTAATGCCACCAGCAGTTAACGTCACACAGCTGACGGCGGCACCTGCCCCTGTCACTACCATCACCCCCACCTCTGTGCAGGCAGAGGTCCCAAATCCAACCTCCCTCCATCAACCCATCCAGCCTGTGGACTTCCGTCACCATCACTTCTCGGACATGGAGATCTTCCTGCGGCGATACGCCAACGAGTACCCCAACATCACCCGACTCTACTCCGTGGGCAAGTCCGTGGAGCTGCGGGAGCTCTACGTGATGGAAATCTCTGACAACCCTGGTGTCCATGAAGCAGGTGACGTGGGAGATCACTTCTAGTGAGGCACAGGTGGAGCTGACAGACCCTTTGCATTGGGAGACTGTGGGCAGAGCAGAAAGGAGTGTGGAGCTGGCACTTGTCTCAAGAGAGACTGAGCTGCTCCTTGCAGTGTCCTTTAGAGAAAGTGCAAGTGCAGTGGGTGACAATAGTGTGTTAAACAGCTCTGCTGGGAACATCTGTGCTGGTTTTGGAGCTCTGGGGACAGAAGGACCAAGGGACTTCCCTAAGACATTGTTCTTTTCTGTGTTGTGGGAGCAGAAGGGTAAATTTTAGGTAAATGTCCTCCAGGAAATCCTGAGAGAGCTGTGCTCAGGGTGGTGAGGTGTCTCCAAGCTGTAATGTAGTGGTTATAATTGTCTCTTTGGTGTGACTGTGTGTCTGCAGGTGAACCAGAGTTCAAGTACATCGGTAACATGCATGGGAATGAAGTTGTGGGGAGAGAGCTGCTCCTGAACCTCATTGAGTACCTCTGCAAGAACTTTGGCACAGATCCTGAAGTGACTGACTTGGTCCAGAGCACACGGATCCACATCATGCCCTCTATGAATCCTGATGGCTATGAGAAGTCCCAGGAAGGTATTGCTGTGTTTGCTGGAATATCTGTGGGGTTTCTGGCTCTGAGAGCAAGCCTTTTGGGTTCATGGTCCCTCTGGGAATTCTGGAAGCCTTGCTGAAGCAGCGGTGCTTTCCACACGAGGAGTCTGGGAAGGGACTTGGTGCTGTGGGGTGAGTGGGTGGACCCTGCACTGCAGGATGTGGGCAGCTGATGGATGCTGGAAGCTGTTGGAGAGAGCTCTTATGCTCCAGCAGTGCTACATGCTGCCCGTGTTTAGGTCCCCTTATGGTTTGTGGCTAATCCAGGGCTTATTTTTTCAACAAAAAGACATTTTGACACAGCTCTCGCTTGCTGTGCTTTGGTCCATTCTCTTAGTAACATGCAGTGTGGGAGCCAGGCAGTCTGCAGAACCCTTTTCCAAGGATAACACAGACTTCTATCGTGAGGTTGAAATTGGCAAAAACATCCTTCAGGGAAGTCTGTAAAACTACGTGGCTCCTGCAGATTGGCAGAACAAAGTCTGTCCAGAATCATTTGCTGGAAGCAGAGCTCTGCTTGGGTTTAACAAAGAACTTGTCCAGCTGGTTTGGGAAGGTGAGCTCGGAGGTTTCTGTGGTCGCGACATCCGGCTGCAGAGATTGTTCGTGGTTCACTGCCTGTGGTCTGCCTGGCACTGGGAGCCTGAGCAAACACCTCCTGAAAGGGCCCCCAAGGCACTGCTGTGCAGAGCAGGCCACTCACTGAAGGAGAGGGTGGGTGCCCCTCTGGGTGCAGGGAACCAGCACTGCTGTGCTCTCTGCTGTCTTCCATTGACTGATAGCTGTAAATCTGTAGTAAGAGGATAAAACCTCTGCATTGAAGTGGGAACCTGCATAGGGTATCACCTTGAACTTGTGTTTAATTTCCAGGAGACAAAGGAAGTACCGTTGGCAGAAACAACAGCAACAACTATGACCTGAACCGCAACTTCCCAGATCAGTTTGTGCACGTGGCAGACCCTCCACAGCCAGAAACTCTTGCTGTCATGGCTTGGTTAGAGTCTTACCCATTTGTGCTCTCAGCAAACCTGCATGGAGGTACAGCACCCAAACCCAACTCCTTCCTCTTCTCTGGGGTTAGTGGGGTGGGAGTTGGCAGGATTATTTCCACCGTGTGCGCTGAGGAGCCCTCACAGGGAGCTCTGCCCTTGGCTCTGCTGTTAAGTGGCAGCAGTGAAGGCACTGCAACAGGGGTGAGGCCGTTTGCAAAGGGCCTACACACAAAGAGTAAATAGACTCTTTGGTTTGTGCTGCTGGAAGGTGGATCAGAAGCTGGAAACAGGGTGAAAACCATGTCCCAAGCACATTTGTAGGGAGTTGAAGAGGCTGCTGGGAAAATCCCAACCTCTTCTCTGAAGGGAGCACATGGGAAACAGAGATGGACTCTTGCTGGCACTTGCTCAGCAGCTGGTCTGGGAACAGGATACAGAGCTGTGGCTCTTAAAGGCTTCATAATATTTATAAAGTGAATGCAATTCTGAGGGTTCCCTGCCTTGAATCACATGGCAGATCTATGAAATTTGCTGTAATTTAATTATCCTTTTGGTGTGATCTAAATTAAGTCTCTGTATTACGGCTTATTCCCTAGACAGTTTGTCTGCTGGCTTGTAGCTGTGGTAACTTGCAGGTGGTTGCTTTGTGCTGGCATGTTTCATTTGTAGTGCAGAAGAGCTGTGTGTGGGTATGAGGGAGCTGGCAGGTCTCCAGCAGCTGTGGTGACTGGGGTTCCACAGTGCTATTAGTGCTTCCTTAGGGAAAGCTTCAGCAAAAACTCCAGAAGACTGAAAAACTGCATTGTTTGGGTCAAAAGCACCAATTATGTTCTAGGAAATTCCTCCCCTTGCTTTCACATCTCTGTGAAACCAATTTTTATGTGGTGCTTATCCCTCCTTCATGTAAGAGCCAAAGCTTTGTGTCGTGACTTTGGTTCACCTTCCCAACTAAGTGTGATGTTATCTCTTCCTGTGCTTCTGTTGTCTCTTCTATCCACTGGGCTTAATGCTTTGTTTAATGCCAGGTCTTGAGAAACGGAAGGGTTGGCACTCACTGGAGAAAAATTTCCCCTGTTAGGCTGAGGGATCTCTGGGAAAGCTCACAAGTATGAGCCAAAGGTTGTTTTGCCTGCAGGTTCTCTGGTGGTTAATTACCCCTTTGATGACGATGAACAAGGACTAGCCATATACAGTAAATCCCCAGACGATGCTGTGTTCCAGAAGCTGGCACTGGCCTACTCCAAGGTAAAGCTCTCACAGGGAAACAGGCACATCCTGCTGGGTGAACTCCTGGGAGCCTCCCAAGCAGCTGGCAGAGGTGGGTGCCTGGTGCTGCAGGTGCAGCAGAAGGGTCCCACAGGAGGCTCCTGTTCCATGAGTCCAGCACATGGCCTGGAGACACTGTGGGAGGAGAGCTCTCTGCAGGCACAGGGGACAGCACACTGAAGGGTGGTGGAAAATGTTGTTAACAGGCTGGGAGGAGAGCAGGGATGTCTCTGGGTGGGATTGGGTGTGGGTGCAGTGCTGCAGCCGCACAGACACATGTCTAGGTGAACCTCTGTGTTTGATAACCCCAAGTGTGTGACTAATGGTAGAGCAAAACTGCCATTGGCTGTGGAGTGCAGACTCACCCTCACGTGTTGCATCTTGTTTTGCAGGAAAATGCAAAGATGTATCAAGGAAGACCTTGCAAGGATATGTATCCCTCTGAGTACTTCCCACATGGCATCACTAATGGCGCTCAGTGGTACAACGTTCCGGGTAAGGTACACCTTAAGTCTCCTACACTGTTTGTCTCCAAGTTAATGCATGTGGCTCAGTGGTACAACGTTCCAGGTAAGGTACACCTTAAGTCTCCTGCACTGTTTGTCTCCAAGTTAATGCATGTGCAGCTTAAATAATTCAGTCTGATCAGTCACAAACTCTGCATTGGTCAGCCCAGATTAATGGGGCTCAGGTTTCTTTTATAACCTCTTCAATAATGTACCCAGATCAAGTTATTCCTGGGGGAAGGAATTTATAGTGTAGTTTTTCTGGCTATTAGCAAAAGGGTTTCATAAAATTTTACAGCACTTTATTAGCATGAAAGGTATTTACAAGAAGGAAGGGTATTTGTCTGCTCTTTTGGCATCCCTTTGAAGCTTGAGTCCTGCCCTGTGTAAAAGCTTTCTCCCTTCAAGTTTGTACTTCACCTTTGCTCTGCTATCTGATTATTTTTCTTTGAGTTGTGGTACTTCAGAAGACCTTGTCAAAACTTTTTTTTTTTTTACATTCCTGTTGTAGGTGGGATGCAAGACTGGAATTACTTGCATACAAACTGCTTTGAAGTGACCATTGAGTTGGGCTGCGTGAAATACCCAAGAGCTGAGGAACTGCCAAAGTATTGGGCACAAAATCGCCGATCACTGCTGCAGTTCATGAAACAGGTGAGACACTTGGACCTCAGACTATCATGTGAGCTGGGGTTTATTTTGGACATGACAGAATAAACAGGCTAATCTGTGGGCTGAAGTCATTGCTCTTTCCGGTCAAACTGGGTATCTGCTCCACAGAAATCATCCCCATCAGAACGTGTCTCAACTTCTCCTCTCCTTCTCAACATAGGAAAAATCTGTGTGGAAATAGCAGCCAGGTGATGCTGGTGTGGGCTTTGTATGTACCATTACCTTGGGTTTCAGTGAGCTGGACGTTCCCCTATGTGCTGTTCCTACCTGAGTCTGGGCTGGTGGTGCTGCTGCACACCTGGGGCAAACAAAGGTGTGGAGCAGAGAGTGCTGTGGTGGCACCCAGAGCCAAACAATTGCTCATTGTACTCATCAGGTGATCTTTGTCCATGCCAGCTGCTGGCCAGTCTAACCTGAACCCTTTTGGAACATCTTGCTCCTCTGGCAGTGCCAGATGTCCTGGACAGGGAGCTGGCAGGATCCAGGTGTTGCTGCTCCCAGAGGAATGTGAGGGGCAGGAGGCACTGAGCAGAGCTCTGGGTCTGTGTGCAGGTTCACCGCGGCGTCTGGGGCTTCGTGCTGGATGCTGTGGACCAAAGGGGCATTCTCAATGCCATCATCAGTGTGGCTGACATCAACCACCCCGTGACCACCTACAAGGATGGAGACTACTGGCGCCTCTTGGTCCCAGGAACGTACAAAATCACGGCGTCTGCCCGAGGGTGAGCAAGCTATGGCACGAGGAGCAAACAGCTGCATGGTTCCTTCCCCTTTAGGAGTGTTCCCATTGCCTCTGCCTACAACAGATGTAGACTTGGGTGTTTCTCCTACCCTCTGTCCTGTGCTGAGGTAGTAATGTGATGCTGCCCTGACGTTAGAGACTGCTCACCTAGCTCCAATGTAGAGCCCAAATCCTCCCTTGTTTGGAGGAGATATGGTGAAGAAGGTGATAACTTAGTGTCTTCAGGGGAAATTCTCTTCCAGGCAGCTGCCCACAGAAATGACTTCACCACTTCTACTGCTGCCAAAACTCTGTGTGAAAGCAGCCTGACTTCTTGTCCTGCCAGTTTGCCACGTAACCCTGCAACACCTGAGCCAAGAGCAGCTCAGCACCATGTTGGATCCCGAGCTGTTCCCTGTCCTTCTGCCTTTCCCATGTCCCTTTGAACTGTTCTTGCTCCTTGTTTCTATGTACTTTTGGCAGTAGCAGTCCCACCTGAGTGTGTAGTCAGGAACAGGGATGGCTTGTTGTCCAAGGTCTCAAATACCTGATGATTCCTTGTACCTTTTTTTTCCCTGGACAGGTACGATCCAGTCACTAAGACAGTGGAAGTTAGTAGCAAAGGTGGAGTGCAGGTCAACTTCACTCTTTCACGGACAGACAGCAAAGTGGAGGAGGGGAAGGTGCTGGTCTTGAACACCCCAGACCCCAGCAAGCCCAACGAGAAGGAGTTTGAGACCCTGATCAAAGATCTCTCTGCTGAGAATGGGCTGGAGCGGCTCCTGCTCACCTCCTCGAGGGATGTGACTCCGTACCGGTACCGCCCCTACAAGGACCTCTCCGAGTTCCTCCGAGGCCTCCATCTGAACTACCCACACATCACAAATCTCACCAGGTGAGAATAAATCTGCAGTGCTCAGCTCCTCCCTAAGCAGCACCCCGAGATGGGGATGTTGTCAAACTGTGAGCCGTGAATGCAGTGCAGAGTGGGAAGCTCATCCCTCCCTTCGCTGTGTTCCCTGAGACTGAGGGAGCCCCATGTGTAAGGATACAGTGGCAGAGCACTGGCTGCAGGGCTTGCATTTGCATCTGTGTGTTTTTTCCTGAACATTTTTTTATTGACTTGAACCTGGGGTGCTCTCCCTTCCCCAGGGTTGCCTGGGACTGGCAATATTCCCAGCATTGATATCCCAGGCTTCTGCAAATCTCTCTGTTCCACACTCTATTTCCTCTGTTTTCTAAATCCTTTCTGACAACCACCCTGTTGAAGGGTTCCCAGAAAAATGATCAAATTTGACTTAACATCTCAGATGGCCTTTTTTCATTGTCTGCCTCCCGATTTTATTTCAGTGAGACACATTTGAGTGAGCTTGCCCTGAGCCAAGGTCTCTGCCCTCCTGCAGGAGACCAGCTGCTGCCATCCTCTGCTTTCCTTTGTGACCTGTAGCACTTACCCTCTGTCAGCTTTAGAAAGCACAAATCCCTTTGTCCCAGGACCTCATTTGCTTGTTGTCACCAGGCACAATGTGCTCATGTGCCATCCCTGCTGGTGCCAAGGCTGCTTTGCTGATCTGTACCCTCTATTGTCCCTGCAGTTGCATCAGCCCTGAGTCTATTCCCTGCTTTGCCTGCATTCAGTTTGCCAGCTTAATGGCATGACTGTAGCAAAAGCTTCTGCATCACTGGGAACAGGCCTCTTTTGTCCTCCACACCGGGTGCTTTATAAATTAGTTTGATGTCCAGATATATTCTACTCTGAAGGCAAAAAAAGCCTCGTGCAGCAACCATCATTGGCAGCACAGAGGTATCCAGCAGTTCCACGTTTATCCTGGTCTCATAGGCTAGATGGAGATGTATGGAGTTTTGAGTGTCCTGTGCATCTGGACCTGGATATCACAGAGTCATAGAATTTTAGAAGTTGCAATGGATTTTACAGATCATCTAATCCCAACCTTCCCTGCCATGGGCAGAGACACCTCCCCATTAGACTGCTCAACACCTCATCTAGCCTGGCTTTGAATTATTGATTTTGGAGTACCGAATACAATAATTATTCAAAAAACATTAAAATGGAAGAGAAGCTACTTCTGCCCCCACAGTATCACAGAATAGGTCAGGATGGAAGGGACCACAGTGGGTCATCTGCTCCAACCTCCCTGCTCAAGCAGAGCCATCCTAGAGCACATGGCACAGGGTTGTGTGCAGACAGTTCTTGAATATCTCCATTGAGGGAGAATCCACAGCCTCTCTACTCAAATATTATTTATCTACTGCACTCATTAATACCCTAGACATCACCTTCATCTCTCTTAAAACCATCTCTGTATTTTATGTCTACATCTTGCACAGCTGCTTCTATTCAAACTGATGTTCCTAGTGAATTCTGTTCAGTGCTGCTGCAAATCTGCTTTTGTGAGGTTGTTTCACTTGCCTTTGCAGCCACCTCATGGAGTCAGCAGTTTCTTTGCCCACTGGGATTTCTCCATGAGGTCAGGCTGGAGGTGCAGCTCTGTCTCTGAGCTAACTCTGCCGTTTCTCATCTCTTGGCAGTTTGGGTCAGAGCGTTGAGTTCCGTCAGATCTGGTCCCTCGAAATCTCCAACAGGCCCAACCAGTCTGAGCCTGAGGAGCCCAAGATCCGTTTTATTGCTGGTATTCATGGCAATGCTCCCGTTGGGACAGAGCTGCTCCTGACACTGGCAGAATTTCTTTGCATGAACTACAAGAAGAATGCTGCTGTCACAAAGGTGAGACAAGGCCATTGCAAGGCACTACCTCAGAGCCTTCCAGCTGTGTCCTGAGATGACAGTGCTCACTGGGAGAGACTCATCTTGCTAGCACTGCCCTGGGGCTGGTGGTGATGCCGTGTGTAACAGGGAGGTGTGTGTGAGTGGAGCCTCTAACTGCAGTTCCTCAGACAAGATCCAAGGAAATGAGATGTACAAAGAATGAACACTACTAATAACACTTTATGTACTGTTTTTCCTCCTTTTGTTCAGCTGATTGACCGAACTCGGATTGTGATTGTGCCTTCCCTGAACCCGGACGGGCGTGAGATCGCACAGGAGAGAGGCTGCACCTCAAAGATGGGACAGACTAATGCTCATGGCAGAGACCTGGACACAGACTTCACAAGTAAAGCAAACCAAAGCACTGTATAGTTTCCCTGCAAAAAAATGCAGACTGCTGCAGGAGTCTCCTGCTAGCTGGAGTTGTTTGGTTACAGGGTCTCCCAGCATAGCTGCTGGGAAGCTTCCAAGGTTTTAATCCCCCCTACAGACAGCAATTTGCAGTCTCTTATGTGCAAGCGATGAAGCAAAGTTCTTTATGAATAGACTAGAGGTCAGATACATGATGTACTTTTACTCTTAATTGATTTCTTTCAACCCCCAATCTCTGAAAAATGCCCTCTGTTCATGCTCCCCAGAAATAGTCTCCTTTTTCCATGCTTTTCTGGTTTCCATGTAACTGTATCCATAGCACTGAATCAGTGCTGTGCCCACCCTTCCAGAGGAGGAAGTGTTCTCTGCCCAGGTTTGGCTGAGATCATCCCAACTGCTTTCTTAAGGAAATGTCAGTTCTGTGACATTGTTTGTTTTGAGCAAACACATGTGAAATACCCTGTGCAGCACAAAAGGAAATGCCTTGGAGAAATAGTGATTTTTCATGTTTGTTTAGCTTTGCAGATGAATTCCCCCCGTGGGTTGTGTGGACTGGGTGCTTGATCAGTCAGATGCATCTGCTGAGATCTAACAGACACCTTTCAATATATGCAGCAGACAATTTCAGGCATAAATAATGTACTTCTGGCTTCTCAAACAGCAGAGGAAACTGTTGTCAGTTCCTTTCTGTATTTGCTGTTCTGATTTACAGGCAATTACACACAGTACCTGGGGACACGAGAGCCTGAGACCAAAGCCATCATGGACAACTTGATCCTGAAGCAGGATTTCAGCCTCTCTGTTGCACTGGATGGAGGATCTCTGCTTGTCACTTACCCATATGATAAGCCAACACAGACAGGTATGCCTGATTCCCCCAGGGCCTGGCATGCACAGTTACCCTGGGGCTGTCTCTGCAGAATTTCATGTGACCACGTGGTGTATGAGCTTTTTTTGTGCTGCTGGTTCTCTAACCTCTTTTGTGTTCAGCCCTTTGTATGTGGAGTTGATCATCTGTAAGTAAAGCTATAAAAACTTATAGGATTCAGCTCGGAATCAGAACACTTACCATTTCCATTCCTACAACAGTATTTCAACCCTTCCCCTGCCAAAGCAAGTGTAAAGTTTACTTTCTGTACTGCCCCTCAGTGTTAGAAGAAATCAGGAGTGCCCCTGGAAAATGTGTGTCACTGTAGTACAGGATCATGGGGTTAGAATGGGAATCTGCCCCTCCAGGGAATGGGAATTGCACTCTCAAAGTCTAACTTTTCTCGTTCTAGTGGAGAACGAAGAAACACTGAAGCATTTGGCATCTCTGTATGCAAACAACCACCCACTGATGCATTTGGGCCAGCCAGGCTGTCCAAATAAGTCAGGTATGTTTGGCTGAATCCTTTAACCCTCTGTCAGCTCGTGGCAGACTCTGCTGGAGCAGCTCTGCCTGACAGCTCCATTCTTGCTCTCACAGATGAGAACATTCCTGGTGGTGTGATCCGTGGCTCAGAGTGGCACAGTCACTTAGGAAGTATGAAGGTACTGCAGCAAGCACGAGGCTTTCCATCTTCCCTAAACAAGCATTAAACAGCATATTTGTTCTGATCTCTGGGCAAAACTTCCCCACTTTCAGCTGCGTTTTGCAAAGTTTGTTTTTTTTTTAATCCCTCTTTTCCTGTAACTGTGGTTTTGTTTTTTGCAGGATTTCAGCATGACATCTGGTCAGTGCCCTGAGATCACTGTTTATACCAGCTGCTGCTACTTCCCGAGTGCAGGACAGCTTCCTGGCCTGTGGGCAGACCACAGGAAATCTCTCCTCAGCATGCTTGTGGAGGTGAGCTGTGTGAGGAAATCCTGGCAAGGAGAGAAGGTAGTGGGTGAGATGGGGAGGGGGAGAGGAAGAGAATAGTGTGGAGAAGAGTCTTTGTGGTTTTGTCGTTGCTGTGTAATTACAGATGGTTGTAATTTAGACTGAGGAATGGATTGAAGAGAGGCAGCAAGTGACCAGGATGTGTTTAACTCTCATGTCAACACATCTGTGGAGTCTTGTAGTGTCATGCACTGTTACTTATTGTAGGGATCAGGGATGGAGTGGGGACTGTGTTTTGTGGGAAAGATTAGATCCTGTTTTAGAATCATAGAATCATCAAGGTTGGAAGAAACCACTAAGATCATCAAGTCCAACCATCAACTCAGCACAACCACTGAAACCCCTTAACCATATCACTCAGAGGTGATATGACTCAGACTTTTCCCTTCTGCTCTGGTGAGACCCCACCTGGAATAGAATCATAGGTAGATACTGCATGCAGTTCTGGTGTCCTCAACATAAGGAGGACATGGAACTGTTGGAGCAAGTCTAGAGGAGGCCAAGGAGTTGCTAAGAGGACTGGAGCACTTCCCCTATGAGGACAGGCTGAGGGAGTTGGGGCTGTTCAGCCTGGAGAAGAGAAGACTGCGTGGAGACCTCAGAGCAACTTTTCAATATCTGAAGGGCCTACAAGGAGCCAGAGAGGGACTCTGTGTTAGGAACTGCAGTGACAGGACAAGGGGTAATGGGTTCAAACTGAAGGAGGGAAAGTCTAGGTTGGATGTGAGAAGAAAGTTTTTTCCTGTGAGGGTGGTGAGACACTGGCACAGGTTGCCCAGGGCTGCCCCAACCCTGGCAGTGTTCAAGGCCAGGCTGGATGAGCCTTGAGCAGCTGATCTAGTGGTTATGGCAGGAAGGGTTGGGACTGGATGATCTGTAAGGTCCATTCCAACCCTTAAATTCTATGATTCGGTGCCAGATCCAGACACCTCTTAAACACCTCCAGGGATGGTGACTCCACCACCTCCCTGTGCAGCCTACTCCAATTCTTGACTGCCCTAACAGTGAAAATTTTTGTCTAATACCTAATCTGAATCTCCTGTCTCAGCTTAGTACCATAAAAGTTAGTTACAATTGTACTGTACACTTGGAACAGAACATGAAGTGTTCGACTTGCTTTATTTCAGGTTCACAAAGGAGTACATGGGATTGTCCAAGACAAGAGTGGCAAGGCAATTTCTAAAGCTATCATTGTTCTGAATGATGGTTTGAGGGTCTCTACGAAAGAAGGTGGTTATTTCCATGTGCTCCTGGCTCCAGGTTTTCACAGCATCGATGCGATAGCCACTGGGTATCAGCAGAAACATGTCAAGGTATGTGAGTGTCCATAGTGGAGGTCATTCCTCACTCCCTGTCACATAAAGGCATCTCTGTTTGGGCTCTGCCTGCTTGGCTGCCTTTAGCTGCTGATTATGTGCCATCAGGAGCTGTTTTTTGCCTTATATAATGGATGGAAAACTTCCTAGCACGGCAGCGTGGGTTTGGGAGGAGTTTTTCTTTCCGTTGGATTTGTCCTTGACCAGGGCAGGACCAGGTGGATGCCACGTGTCTCTCTTGCCTGGACACCTAACAAGGGTGCAAGTTTTGACACAGTCTGAGCTCTTGTGTCTTTCTGCAGGTCTTTGTACGTCATGATGCACCCAGCTCTGTGTTCATAGTATTTGACACAGAAAACAGGATATTTGGGCTGCCAAGGGAGCTGGTTGTAACTGTTGCAGGTAAAGTGACTTTTCATCAAAGCTTTGAGTTTTGCTTTCTGTACCAGTTCATGCTGACAGTGACCCTCCACTGAACTGGGAAGGCAGATTTAAACAATCTCCTGCTTTCCCTTCTGAACACACATTTGCCTTTGCAGACTGGTCCAACAACCTTGGGGTCTGGTGATGCTGGGCTAACAGGAGGGAGGGAGGAAGTAGTGTGTGTTACAGGGGTTTGAGGGGTCCAGAATGGACTTTGAGATGCCTGGAATGGGGAGAATTTGTGCATGTAGCTGAGAGCTAGGAGATTTTGCTGCTTCCCCAAAGTTTCTTTGAGTGGTGTGGCACTAGGTAAGGATTAAGACGGGTTTTTTTTTGTCAAGGTGTTAGCTGCTGGGGAGGGTAGAGATGAGACCCAGTGGTCTGCAGAGGAGCTTGGTGATGCTATGCTAAATTATGAGAACAGAAAAGAAAGCAAGTGCTGTCTTGCTGTGGGAGCAGGGCCACAGTGAGGTGAAGAAAGTGGTTATGACTGTAGAAGGGAGGAGAGGTTGTTGCAGGCCTGGGATTGTCTGGGGTGGGGGAACATGGCATTAACTTTGATGTCCTTTCTCTGGCAGGTGCAAGTATGTCTGCTCTGGTCCTCACTGCCTGTATCATCTGGTGTGTCTGCTCAATTAAGTCCAACAGACACAAGGATGGTTTCCACCGCCTCCGGCAGCACCACGACGACTACGAGGACGAAATCCGCATGATGTCCACTGGCTCCAAGAAATCCCTCCTGAGCAATGAATTCCAGGATGAAACAGACACTGAAGAAGAAACACTATACTCCAGCAAACACTGACACCTCCCGGGCAGGAGAGGAGGTTCCCATGGACCAGACCCGGTTGTGGGGGGCAATCCCTGTGGTTCAGTTTTGAAACATCAGCTTCAGGATGTGTCCCCCAGAGGGGGTGGGTGGCAGCTCCCAACTGCCCTCTGTTTGCTCTGCTCCTATGTACATGCAAATCAGTGGGTGTTGGAGGCTCTTTCTGGGATGAGGACATGGTTTGTTATATTTTTGGGTCAAGATCTGGAGGTTCACATGAAATGGTTTGAAAGACAACAGGGTGGGCAACAGAGCTCCCAGCACTTCCCCAGCATCTCAGCACAGGGAGCAGATGATGGGGAAGTGCCCCAAGACCTGCATGGAGTTGTGGTTACAACACTCCAGAAAGGTTTCTCTACCTGTTTTCACTCCATGTTTTCCACTCCATGCTTGGGGGAAGCCAAATCCTTCACATGACTCCACATTCTGCAGAGCAGCCCATGGAAAAAGACCCAAAAAACCCAAGCCTTTGATTTTCAGCTGTTCCCTTGGAGCTGTTCCCACCATGGGATGCTGTGGCCTGCTGTGATCTGCAGTGGTTGTAGAGCACCTTTAATGTGTCGTTAATTCCAGGCAGTGACTTGGCTTCCTGAAAGCTGGGGGAGGTGACATCATTCTTGATGTGAGCTGGAGAAAGTCAGAGCTCCAGTGAACTCTGTCAGAGTTCACTGCCTGCCAGCTCTGCCATACTGCTGTTCCTGACTTCTGGGGAAGAAAGAAACTATCCCCATCACCCCTGGTTGTGTTTTGTTTGTTTGCTTGGCCTTGGGCTCTCATGTTATTGTTACAACAGTTCAGTGTCTGAAAGAGCAGCTGAAGGTGGTTTTAAGTGGATTCACTGATTTGTAGAAAAAACCCTATCAGTTACTGACTTCACCAGATCAGTTTTGCTCAAATCCACCACTCTTAAGGAGAAAACAGCGATATTTGACCACTGCTTTATATCTGAGCATTGTTGGAACAGCAGGGAGAGGTCATGGCAGTATCCATGGCCCAACTTTAGTGCTGAGTTCTGAAGAAATGTTGCACCATTTGCCATTGTACATGAATACCATTTAATCACCAAACTCTGGTGATGGCAGGCAGCAAATTAGCTGCTGGCTTGGCTTTGTTCTGCTGCTGCAGTGTCCCTGAAGTGTGGAGCAGGAGCTCCACCTGTGTGTGTGGCTGCAGCTGTGGCTGCTGCAGGGCCTGGGTGCAAGGTGTGAGGAAGGGCTCAACTGCTGAGCTAAAGGAGAAGGGAAAACAGCCAAATTCTGTTATGTAGCACTTGGCAGGAAGATGGAGAGAAGCTGCATCACAGATCCCCAGGATGCATAGCACTTTTGGGGAATAGAAGGGATGTCCAAAAGGGAAGAATGGCTGAAATGTTTGATTTCCAAAGCATCTCTGATGTTCCTGTGCTTTCTGGGCAGAAGGCTGGGGTTACATTAGGCACTTATTTTCTTGCTGCTCATTTTCTTCTTAATTCTTACCCTGCTGACTTGATTTCTGGGGTGTAGGAGCCTTAGGCATCTAGTTTGCCCTGAGCTGATCTGTTCTCCAGCAGCCTGGGGCTGTCCACTAGTGAAACCTGTACATGGTGTCTATAGGGGGTGTTTGCACCCAAATATATGATGGGGTCTGCTCTGCAGGGCTCTGACCTGGTCTTCTCTGGGGGAACAGCACAGTGTGTTGGCTGTTGGGCCGTGTCACCTGGGATGAAGCTGTTCCTCCTCACGTCTGCCTGTGGTAATGCCCTTCCAGAACCACATGCTCATTGTCTCAGCTGATTTTGTGCAGCTATCTGAGGGGGCAGAGAGAACCCTTAGACACCAGTGTCCCTTCTTCCCTGTTCCCCAGAGAATTCTACTGCAAGAAACAGAAGCTGTGGCTGGGGAGGTGTGCTGGGTGCAGGGAGATGAGGTTTAGCATTCCCTGTGCTTCTGTCTCTCATGTGGTGTGAAAGAACTGCTCTTGCTGCCTTTGTTTTGCAGGAGCCATGAACATCTCTGTGCCTGCTCTCAGCTCACTGGACTGAGCAGGGGCTGGGATTTGGTCCTGGGCCATGACCCTTTTCCATGTGTAACAGGAAACACTACAGCATTAATCCTGCCTCACCTCTGAAATGTTCCTCCTTTAACAAGAGACACAGTAGGTTTTATTTAAAGTCGAACCATTTGCAAATGGTTCTTGGGGCTCTGTTTGGGCTTTGTTTGCTCTGTCAGCAGGTTAAGGGACTGAGCTGGCCCTGCTTTGTCCCTCTAGCAATAACTCCTGTTAGGAACTGGCCCTTTCCCTGAGTGTGTTCTGCAGTTAGCTTGGACTAAGTGTGTATATTTAAGGTGAATGGATTGGAGATGTTTTGCAAACGTGTGAGACTTTAATACGCAGCAGGACCAGGTATGATATACCTGTCTCTGCATTTGGCTCCATGCTCAGAGCCACAGCAAATTCTAGGTCTGGTCCACGGCAGTTTGGGCAGGCAGGAGCTGTGTGCCCCCAGTTTGGGGCTGTTCCTCTGCAGTCTGGGCAGGCAGGAGCAGCTCCCTGTGTCCCCAGTTTGGGGCTGTTCCTCCGCAGTCTGGGCAGGCAGGAGCAGCTCCCTGTGTCCCCAGTTTGGGGCTGTTCCTTTCCTACGCAGGCAGGCAGGAGCAGCTCCCCGTGCTCTCCGTCCGTCCGTCCATCCACCCGCGGAGTTGGTCCCTGCGGGCGCTGTCCCTGTCGGTCCGTGCACTGTGCCTTCAAATGTACATTTTCAAAGGGACTTGAATTGCCGTTTCCTGGCAGCGGGAGGGGAGGAGGCGGCGCGGGGCCGTGCCTGGCTCTGCCCTCAGCAGCCCGTGCTCTCCGTCCGTCCGTCCATCCACCCGCGGAGTTGGTCCCTGCGGGCGCTGTCCCTGTCGGTCCGTGCACTGTGCCTTCAAATGTACATTTTCAAAGGGACTTGAATTGCCGTTTCCTGGCAGCGGGAGGGGAGGAGGCGGCGCGGGGCCGTGCCTGGCTCTGCCCTCAGCAGCCGGGCTGTTTTTTTTTACCTGTATACCGAGATCAATAATCTGTATAAAACTATTTTGATGTCCACGTGCGTTCGCTCGTTCTTCCCACCAACGGGCAGTGCGGAGTCAGCGCTGGGGGGTCGGGGCTGGGAGCGAGGACCGGGACCCAGGACCG